TTGTGTTTTGTTTCTGGTTTATTTAAAGCGGCTGTCAGCAGCTCAAACTACATAGCGCCGAATGATGGAATAGGGTAATGAATCTGAAAGCGACGGACATAAGTCGTCGTGGCTTAATGTAAATATGAATGGACGAAGAAGAAGCAACTGAAACCTTCAGTCAGGACAGCTGGTCGCCTGGCCGAAGCTGTAGCCGTGACCTCTTGAATACGCAGCAGAAATTCCATCCACTCAGCCGCAACGTTCGATAAACAATGCAAACTCAATGTCATGAAACCAAATCCTGAACGATAAGTTAGCAATTAAAGGTATGTGCAGAATGTTGTAAATATCTGATTTAAATCAAATTTATAATCAGAATTTCTAGACGAACAGTGCAAAAGTGGCAGCTTTTCACGAAATAGTTCAGCAATTATTCTCAGCTCTTTCTTATTCTGATAGTGCATCCGATAACTCTGCCCGACTTTTACGCAATCTCCTTCAAGTCTTCGGTAAATCCTTACTGACATAAACGACCTAGCTGCACTGCTATTGGTCCATTCTATTCGTGACGTAAGAAGGTGTAACCTATTGTTGTTCCCGCCTTTATTCATGAGTATGACAAGTTCTTCTGTTCCACAGAAAGAGAGCAGCAAAAACTATCTCGAAATTTAGCACACGATTTTGCAGAATAATAATTAACGCAAATAGAGCCAATTTATTTGTAAATATACAGAAGTAGAGTAAGAATATCACTGGACTATGAGGTACAAAATCAGGGTCCGATTCACATCCAACACGTCGAAGTGTTGGGGATTCCCCGGAGGATAAGGCGGCCAAAAAGTGTCACAAATGTGTTGTGATGCTTTTTTATGTGAATAACGAATGATGTATTGAATTAGAGCACAAACGCTTCACACATTTGCACTACCTGGCTTACAGTTCAATCACTATCACCATCACTACTATAAACATTCAACAAAGCCTAATCACAGTAATCATCATCATCATCATCATCATGACTATGCACGTCATTTTATCAGAACAGGAGGGCGGTATTTTTAAAAACAAATGTTCAAGGTTGGTTAATTTACAGATTCTGTAATGATACTCTATTACTCACAGAGGTACTTACGTGATATTGCAGTAATTATTTCTTTAATTTTAAATAAAACCAACAACGATAGAACAGAACTAAAACAAGGTATGTAGTTCTATGTCTGAAATCCCTGAAGATAAGAAGAAAGAGAGAGATGAATGACGACATCCTATGAACTTCCTACGCACACATATACGATGAAAGTTGAGGGGCTTTAGTGGGAATTCTATGCAAAACACGGCTGCTTGATATTCGGGCAAAGCTCGAGAGAAGTACTCTACCCCATCAGCATCCCCTTCCAACCAACTAACTTTACTTATATACACGAGAAACAACATTCTAAAAGATGTTGACTTGGGGCATAGCTGCAGGACTTAAAAAAGAAGAAAAGTTTTAAATGCGGAATTAATATTTATAACTTTTAGAGAGGCAAATTCCTTAACGATGTCTCGAGAAAGGCGTAAGGATAGGATGGAATTTTACAAGTGTTCTCTAGTTCACCCTCTGAATCAAAGCCAAATGTTATGCATGGATGGATTGAGGTGACAACGTTTATTTTAAGCTAAATATATAATTCAATGCCTGAGTGTTAATCATAAGACTTTGTAGTAAAATATAAAGTTTTTCGCTACTGACAAACAACACATATATAAAGTTCCGCTTATCTTCGGAACTTAATGGAAGTAAGACCAACTTCACGCTTCGGTGGCTTTATCCCAATTGGATATAATGCTAGGTGAATTCCGGAGCCGGTCTGGACATAAAGGCGAACAGAAAAATATCTCTGTCTCTGAAGAGAATATCGAACAAAGTTTCTCCCGCCGATCGGACCCAGCAAATCATATCTTCGTTGTATCTGCAGAGAAGTACAACTTCCCCCATTTATTTTATTTATAAACTCTTAAATAGTATGTATTTAACGATTTCAAATTTATGCTTTGTCGCAATTAAACATTCTGCTAACGTCATTAATTCTAGCTTTGTAGGTCCATGTTCGTTTCTTATTCCACCTAATCAGGTTTTATCACATTAACTTTTCGTACAGAAAGACTGTGAACTGTATGTAGAATAAATGGGAATTAGCTTTTTTGTCAATATACAGACGAATGCAGATCACGAAGTACTTCAGTCAGTGTAACCGAATACGAAGCCGATCTGATGGTCGGTTGATTCATACAACGTCAAATCACACGAAAGTTGAAACCATATTAGTAATAATCCATTATTATAAGAAAAGACAGGAGAAACTGAAACGTTTAAGACTAAAACGTACACTTATTAGGAAACAATTATGAGTGTCTCACAGAACTTATGAGAATAAGCTTTTTGCTGTGACACTCTAATGGAATAGTGTTCCACTAAGCCATATAAAGTATTAATAAACACAAATAAAGAATTTCATTGAAATAAATGTCATACTGAACATTAATGGGCTCTATTTTAATTCACATACTTTCTTTAAAAGCAATGACACATTCTCGAAGACTATTTATCCTCTGACCATTGTTCTCCTTGCTGAAACAATTTCATTTCCATTCATAGACATTTTTCCACATTACGAATATATTCAGCAAAACAGTGCCAAGTATCGGTACCCATATGCCCATATCTGGTACTCTGTATTATATTTAAAAGTTTGTTAACAAAACATTTTCAGATAAGAACCAATAAAATGTATTTGCGTGACGAAGGAGAACATTTAGTTTCCACTGATGTATTTCAGTCACGTTTCATAGTTCTAAAAGGGCAAAATTGAATTGTCTTAATATCAGAAGCGCCTTCGTACTCCATAATGGGAGCTATTGTAATAATTTTATGTTTTACGAATTGCCAATTTAACTCAAAAAAATTGTAGAGTAGGTACTCACTCCTTTTTTGTAGATAAAGGAAAGACACTGCTATCGCATCCCCCAAGAGCTGCTATTCTATCTGTTGGTTGCACTGGAAGATGCCCTCAGGGTCCTTATGGAAATTTCTTTAATTAAGAAAGTGTCTTTTAAATCCTTCTGAAAAGAAAATAATGGGACACATTATTAGGCAGTACAGTAGTAATAATTTACAAGTAATGGGAAGTTAGTGCCTTGTGGAGTTGGACTACACATTGCCATGATTATAGAGAATTTCATCAAAAAACAAATGAGGCCGCCCATTCCATTAGAGGCAGACAAGAGAAGGTGATTATAATGTAGCCTTCGTTTCTCAGAACGCGAAAACGAGACAGTGAATCAGACTGGTACCTTTGACTTTTGATTATGCCCACTTCCACTGCAAGAAACAATTCGGATTGATTAATATACGTATTTATTATTTTAGTGTTCTGTCTGACGACAGGTCCATATGAACAGGATCCTTCCATCCTTTTCTCGGACTGGGACCTGTTCATATACGTTCTTGGCAGATGCTCCAGAAGTGGTTTGCCATTGCCTTCTTCTGTGTGTGAATGGAGTAATTGTTGGGATGCCACGGAGAAACCGGAGAAGCCCCCGGAGGAAAACTCCGTGTTGCCTAGACCACGGCCTTGCCCAACACAAGTTATAAATTCGGGCACCGCCGGGAATCGAACCCGAGACCCCAGGATTACAAGGCCAGCGTTCTAACCGCTAGACCACCGTACATGAAACGTTAATTATTCCTTTTACAATAAACATATAGAAGTTATGTATTAATTAATGCATGTGTATATGATACATGTGAAAATGTTTTTATGCATATGCCAATCCATATGTGTTCGCATGCATGAAACAAAACAAAATAATCAGCGACCGAGAAATTAAACTATTAATCAAAACGGCTTATTTACCGTATCACTATACCACTTCTTTCCACGACAGTGAAATAGAGCCATTGGCCATGAGGATCACAGAATTTCTGGATGCGTGGTCATCATTAATAAATTTATTGCAAATTACTGTTACGACAGTCAGAAATTTGGAGAAATAACTCCCTGATTTGTAACCGTATATTCAACAAAGAAAGTCAAATATACATCATTCAACTTCTGAGAACAATGAAATTACAACTTCGATAAAACCAGGTACTTCATGAGATAAATTATTAAGTTGGACTGGAATAAAGACAAAGCTGGGAAACAATTAACATCTACGGAATTATTTCTGTGCAAATTACAATTAAAATTGCCAACTGAGGAGTACTAGCGTATTTAAATATTCCTTATAAAAATGACGCATTATTATTCTTACTATGTGTTTTTACATTCAGTGCAGCTAAGGGAGAAAAGCTGGTCTATAACATATACTTTTATTCTATAACAGTGTTAATGAAGAAATTAAACAGGAAGAAGGATATGCTTCAGTGTTGTACAAAAACGTGTAATGACGATGATCTCGCGTTCATATGTTTATTGTAGCTACTGGTGTAATAAAGCAAAGTCTCCATTTCTTTTGTATGTTTATTGCAGTACAGGTCCCCCTATTCTGTCACAGATATTTCCGCTTGATGTTAAAATACCTTCCTTGCACAATTAATTGAGGAGTAAACGGTAAATTAAGGGAGTAAATGGGTATGACAGGTATGAATGGGTTACACATATGTGCACATTTTTTGCTGGTTGTCTTTCGATTAAATTTTATAACAGGAACACATTTTCCTTATGGATGAGGTCTGTTTCAAATAACTGAATATCTCCATCTCCGACATACAAACACATCAATTTAGAAGGAATTTTGATGTACGCATGTATCATGTAGAATGTCAGCTACATCCTCTCAGCTCATTAAGGAGGCAAGTTTCGACCCTCCATGCAACATGTTTTCTTTAAATTTTTTCTTCCCCATTTAATTTTGTTTTCCAGTTCTGTCATCGGAATAATATCGCTTAGGGTTCTGGAAAGGAAAGTCTAAAAGAATCATGTTTCACGACGTAGTGAAATCCTAATCACAGACATCGTTTTGAGGGGATGTAATACAGCTTTCTGGGAGGGTGGATACATATGTAGTGAGAGGGGCTGGATTATAAAACGGGAAAAGAAAACATAGAAAACTGTAATTTCTTACACCCGCTGCCAGACATCTTGAGGAAAGATTATTGGGGTTAGACAATTTTAGAGGAAAGCCAGACGTGCAAGATGGTGGCTCAGCATACTTCGGTTTAGCTGAATAGTTTCATGTATGTCTTGAGGTTTTCACAGCCGTGAGTATGAAGATTTCTGTATTCTGGGTTGTTGCGCTGTGTAGTATGGTGGATTACCGTCATCAGGGCGATGAATCGCCCTCATGACGGAGGCAGTATGACCTCTGAAACGTTGGTAAACATTACCATACTACACAGCGCAACAACCTAGAAGACAGAAATCTTCATCTTGAATAGTTTCATTTCACGTAAATTGCAGAATAAATAAAATACATTAAATTATAAAGTTCTGATCGCTTAAAATATAATTAAGATTTTTTTTATAATTAACTAAAAATTTTTACATTTATTAAAACATTTGAAAATATGGCTTTTCAACTTTAAATAATCCTACTACATCGCGGTGGCCAGAAAGAACATGCATGGCATTTCCCGCCAAGTTTAATGAAAACCTATTAATAGTTTCATACGTTAAATGGAGTACAAATTTGTACATTTTAAGGCACTGACGTATAAAAACGCTTGATTTCTGAAGACAGCATGAAATTCGAAAATTTATGTACGATTACGTAATATAATATACGGTACATTCTTGTCAAGCATTTACTCAACTGCTATCGTCAAAGCAAATGGACTTCGGGGCCATAAACACGCAATCAAAGTCAATATTATTTTCATGTAAATTAACAGGCAGACGTTAAAGCTCGATATCTGTCACGAACATTCTAGAAAATGCTGTCAACAAATTTTTATTATGAAGAACTTAATTCCATTTTATAAACCGTTTTATGACAACTTGTTACGATTATTACTTCACTTTTATCAAGACTCTGCTTGGAGTTAGAGAAGGAAACGGAGATGCCTTATTAGAATAAAGAAACTCACCCAAACATGGCCACTACCTGCATCCACTGGACTAATACTATTAAAAGACTCAAACTACGAGGAAACCTGTTTCTTCTTTCTTCCTCTACAACAACGCATTAATTTGCACTTCAATGTTTCCGTTTGAAAATTTCGATAGAAAATAAAAAAGGTAAAATATGAGTGGAATTTATATTCAAATAAGCCAAATGTTATGATCCAGCCATTGCTTCAAGTTATATTTTAAAAGGGGGATAATAAATGTTCCTAAAACAATCATTATCAATATTAAGCTGTGTGTTATCCACGAGCTTGTAATCGGTCACAAACGAGTTACTTATCTGTCGGTCATTGACTTCTTTAAAGTCATACGGACATCCTTTTACAACATTCACTTAAAAATTACAAAGGTGGCCAAAAGATGTAAGGCACGCTTGGATGAGGTGAGGAAATTATACAAATGTTTAGCCGAAAAACTTAAATGGAGAAAGAACGTAGTCGTAGAAAAAATATAATATTAACCAGCAACTTAAGGAAATTTGGTTTCAGAGTGTGGACTGGTAGACAGTTGGTTGAAAACAGGGTCAAATGGAGGGCTATTTTAAATATGATACAAAGCTTTAGGGTTTCATACAAGTCACATAATTTATTCTTTTCCATGTTGTTACTTCACTAATTATTTCACTAAACTTATGACATCCTAGAGGTAAATAAAAACATTTAGTTCAATTATTTTCATGTGTTAACATTTCAAATAAAAATGAAATAATGCACGTCTTATTAATTTTCCATACGAGTCTCTTCATTAGATCTACAGGAATGCATTACATTCAATAAATTACCATTAACAGCAATAAAGAATTAAAGCAGCAAAACAAACACTAACTTGAAGAATATCTATACTCAACCGAAAATCGTCTTACGACTTATGCTCTATGCTGATGATAAGAATGAGCTTTAACGGATGTTGTGGAAAGTATTTAAAGCTAAGGACCAGAGGTAATAGGAAACTGGATAAAATTGCATAAGAAGGAGCATCATACATGTTAGCAATGACCGTAAGTAACATTACTTTGTATTATCATGCTCAGAATGAGTAGGGTGATGTGGGCGGGGAAGTTTAACCTATATTTGTCAATGTTATAAACAAAGACACCATTTAATTGTCAGGTAATTAAAGAACTCGTCAATTATGCTGGAAATGCCATATATCCAACTTATATTACGAAGAAATATATAGAAAAAGTTTTTTCTCATGCTGCATTGTGTGTATGAGGTTTCCGCTATAAAACGGATCCTAATTCCTCATAAAAATAGTAAGAAGTTCATAAGTACTAAATTTTGTTCTTGGAGTACCTGTAACAAGATAACTTACTTTACTGAACAAATCTGCTTCTGAGTTAGCACTGTTACTTTGATTTCCTTCTTGCCTATCTTTTCTCTGTCTCGCTTATTTTGTTTTTATACTTCATACTCCGAAAGGTCTTACACAACGACTGCATCTAATTTATGCTACATCAAGTTATGTGTACTCATACATAAACCTATGACTTGTTCTTAAAAGGAGTGATCGGGAAACTTTAATAATACTGAAACCCAAGCTGACGTGCATATGGTATTGTCAAATGGAAAGTATCTTCTACTATCATGACACTACAGACAAGACTATGGCCACGAGGACACATAAATTTAAATACTTCATATACGTAATTTAAATAAAGAAAAAAATATCAGATTTTGTTTTGAACTGTACATCACTAGTGCTGGAGTTATGTACATGACAATATTTTACCGGGCATTGTCTCTTAATGGTTAGTTTTCCTGCTTCATAAGTGGCAAATACCGGTTTTTTTAACAAGTTATCCAAAGATTTTCTTTCGTATTCGAAAGTTAAAATACCTTACACAAGACGCGATCACTTACTTCAACATCCTTTCAGTCGACAACACATAACCAAATAGTCGTTAAAGAATTTGTAATCAATCAACACCGTTTTGACACAGTGTCATGCTTCTTGGTTACAGGATCTGCATATTGCGAGCAAGATTATGAT